ATAGACGTGCTACCTGCTCACACCCCTCCTTTCTTGTTACTAATGATGTCATTTCCTGTTCTGTCACAAAGTTACCTCTCAGTGTATACACTGCCCAATTTAACAATTACAATCTTTTCACTCCCACTAATCACTCCTAAAGTTACCCTTTCTATACTGTGTGGTTTCTCCTTCATATGTCCCACATCAGGCCAGTAGCCAAGATTTAAACCATATTTAGTGTCACTTTTCTTTTCAAGTCAGTAGCATATAGAGTATGCCCTCCATGGACTTCACCAGTTCTCCTTGGAGACGGCGCCTCATAAAATAACTGGATGCAAACGCCACTGAATTAACCTGCTTGTTAAATAGAGCTGTTTCAAGTAATACTGGTCATCTCTGTTACTGACTTCATATTTATTATACTCCTTCCTGTCAACTACCAAGGGCCTCCCCATCATCTTAAAACATGTTCCCTGATCTCTGAACCTCAATTGCAACCTACTTTTCATTCATCTGGAACCAATCGGCTGCATATGGGATGTTGTCATTTTGGACCAGCGGCCAGCACTGTAAAGCGGGTGGCATTTGGGTGAAGTGACATTTGCTTCCGCATATTAGCCCCATTTTGGCTTCTGAGCTACACTGACAGAAACAGGGGTCAGGGGTCAGAGGTCATACAGATGCACTAAATGTGATTGGCAAAATCTGGGATTATCCTATTCCAATTTCAAAATATGGTGAGCACTGACATGACATGTTATCTTATTTGTTCATTGAGAAAAATACTCCTGTTAAGTAAAAAAAAATATTTCAAAAAAAGGAAGAAAATCTTTAGGTTTATAAGTTCAGCCGTATATAAGTAATTGTATTTAGCTTAGTTTACTTAATTAGTGTAGTTAGTTTAGAAAAAGTCAAATTTCTTTTCCGATTTTATATATATATATATATATATATATATATATATATATATATATATATATCTCCTCCAAATCTTCTATCTACTGTTTCTGACCAAAACAGAGGTCAGAGGTCGTACGGATGCACTCAAACATGATTGGCTCATTGCAACTCATACTTTCACACCATTGGGATTATCAGTTATTTTCCTTGGAACGCCAGCCTCGAAGGGGATGACCTCATGATTGGCAGGAGCGGGTGTGGGGTGTACAGTAATCACGCTCATTCGAGATCACCAAAGTCCAACTCAAGATTGCAGTGGGATGTGGAACCGGCGCTTCACCCTGGTCATTATATAATACAATCCACAGTAATGTTTGGAAAGAGGGATTTCAGTTGGGACCCGGGTCTTTTGCTGCTGCTCATGTCTGTATGCTGAATTTATTGCCCTCTGTCAATGAGTAAATTGCTGAAAGGTTCAAGCATATGGAGTTTAAAGCAGTTTTTCGTGTGTATGTGTCCTCTGCTATATAGTGCAAGTATATATATGAACCTGAAAAAGATCATGTAAAAATTCATGACCGAAAAGCACCCACACTTAAACTCAGCTTACATAAACCTTCTTGCCATTTTTCAGTTTTTTTGGGGTAAAAAATAGCTCATATGACAGTAGCATAATATAGAGGTATTGGTGCTATTAGTTTTTTCCGTCCTCAAGGCACTCAAATTGCTTTACATCAACCACTCTCCCAATCACACACACATTCATACAAGGGTGTTAAGTGTCTTGCCCAAGGACACAACGACAGCATTCATCTGTGGGTTAGTGGGTACTGACCCCTCTACCAATGCTGTTTTATGTCAAGAGCAGGATTCAAACCGCCAACCTTCAGATCAGTGAACACCCTGCCAACTGAGCTACTGTTGGTATAGCAATTTTTTTCCCTTTTTTTTTCTTTTTTTCTGTCTTTATGACTAAAACTAAGCCCAGAATTGCAGTAAGCTATGCATTTGTTTGGTTAAGATCAATCCTGGGAAAGTCCTGTTCCTGTGTGGCTTATATGTTTAATACTCTGATTACATCTGCTGATTCAAACTTCTTGAACAACTGTCTCCTTTCTCTCCATGTCCCTGATTGTGTTCCCCATTATCCCATATTCCACTTGTAAGCACATCTAAATATAGACTCAAATGTGCTTAGGGGGCAATCTCTTGTAGTGGTGGTTACAGAGAAGACAGGGTATTTGCTGTAATTGTAAATGCATGTGTACGGTCAGAGCTTTGGGAAGGCACACAAAGAAGCATAAAGAGGATCTGGCAGTTTGTGTCCTGGCTCAGCTGCCGTATGAGACCCTTTAGTGTGGGATGCTCTTCACATGGGACATCCTGCCTTTTGTTTACCTAAGTACGCAACTTTAAGATATAGAAATGGTCGGTTACAGTATGCAAAATTATGGTCATTAAAGTACAGTCCCTTAAAATAAATATATAAATAAATAATTACAATAAAATAAAATATGTAAGTATGTATTTTTTTTAGATGTTACCAGTTATAATGTTTTTTTTTTTCTTTGCATCCTTGAAAGTAGTATCATTAAAAGTATCACTGTAAGTATAAGTACCTTATATAAAAGCTTCATAAAGTAAGAATAACTGCACCTAGAACATCAGTTAATTTAAAAAAGTAACTTAAGTAAATATAACTAATTTCTACCCACCTCTGGAAATAGGCCAATACCATGAGTGCTTAACACAGCACACATGGAGACGCACAGGTCCAGCTCTCTCCCTCTCCTCTCGTCTCTCGATACTTGGAAAATCTTACATTTCTGTAGAAAAGAACGAAGTGCACACATCCTGTCCTCATTAGACCAGAGAACAGAGAGGGATCTGGCAAAGGGCGATCCTATGGAAGCTCTCTGCATTCAGGCCCAGCCCAAAAGAACTGAACAGGCATGCTGCTGCGTTTTATATGACTCTTGTTCTTAGCCTTTGATGACACTGTTTAGAATAGGAAATATCTAATAAGTCAAGTATTCTGTGTAATGTGCTGCCAGTGGCTTTAGTATCCGCCTGGAGGTCCTGAAACACTATCGGCACCACAGCAATAATATACATTTAAAATCCGAGCAAGCGGGAGCAATGTAAAGAGGGGAAGGGGCAGCTGAATGAACACAGCATAATAGCAACCATGTGCAGGCAGGGTGTGTGTGTGCGTGTGCACATGCACGTGTGTGTGTGTGTGTGTGTGCGTGAGTCTGTGTGCATGTACGTGTATGTGTGCATATGTAGGGGTGTGTGTGTGTGTGCTTGCATGGGGGTGTGTGTACGGGGCTATGGGGACAGGACACACCTTGAGAGTTGAAAATCCTTCTGTATGACTCTCCAGTTTCACTATTTATCATCATCGTGTTACAAATGCTGCGGTAGCTAATTGGAACTGATGTTGCATCAATTAAGGTGGATGGGAAAAGCAAGGAATGGCCCCAGTAATGGGCTAAACGTGTTGAACTTGTTATTGGTGGCAATGATGAATACTTATGCAGTAAATTTTCGTATTTGCCTAATCACTGTCATGTACAGAGAGCTTTTTGTGCAAAACATGGTTTGCCTTTGTGCAGAAAAATACAATTAGTTGATTGCCTTCATTGCCAACCTAACATTTCTTTATTGTGGCTTGATTGAGAAGACCGCTTTTTGAGAATAGTTTGGGCCTCAGTGGTAGATCTGGTTTTGGGGCACTTCATTGCTTCTCAACATTTCAGTTCTCTTTGCACATTCTCAAATTTTATTCTTATTTTTTAATTGATTCCATTGCTTTAAAACATGTCCGTGCAACTGGATCTGGAAACTGTCTTTTTGTTTAATCCATGTTGTTCCCAGCTTTCCTTCATTTTAAACGGTTACTTGTACCAGTCCATCTTTTTCTAGGTACCATTTAGTTTAATATGTTTGTCTCATTTGTTCCCTGTGGGAGTCAGCCGCGGTGTCTTTATAGTCTCAGGGATGGCATGCTTTTGGTAGCTGGATAAAGATGCCTGTTTTCATTGTTGCTTGAAACACAGAAACCTACTCCACCGTGATTTATTTCAGCTGTCACTGAAAGCCTTTTATTGCCACAGAGACTGGAAGTCTTCTGACATCCCAAGCATAAAATCTCTGCTCCCTTTTACACAATGCCACAGTTGCGGTACATAACTATTTGATTTGTTCAAGTAGGGGACTTTTTTTATAAAGCATACCAATAATGCAAGAAGTTCAAAATGATTGTATGGCCACAGAAAAAGTCCCACATCGTGCCTTTAATGTCTCTGTAGATTGCTGTGCTTCTTAAGTCCATTTGTTTGTGATTTTAATCAAGCAAGCCATTTAGTCTGTGCCTTTGTTTCATGTAAAGTCAGATGGCAGACAACAACAATAAATAAAAAGGCCCTTTTTTACAATAATGGCTACATTATTAGATGCACCTGGTCCTTGGCTGCTGTTGTTGCTGCTTCTGAAGAACTAAGTTTTGTACAATGTATTGCAATGTGTGAATTTACCAGTAAATTCAACTACTTTAAGGGCACATGTTGTTCCTTCATCACAGACATACCTGGAGGAGTTTTGTTTCCTTCACACATGTTTAACACACAAATTCTGCATATTTAGGTTATTCTCTCAAGCAGAAAACACACTGCTCTACTTTGTGATGTCATGTGTTTATACAGGAAGTGCTCCACTTTGTTTTTAAACTCCATACACCTTCATTGAAATTGGAATTGCCAATCTCTACTGAACTAAACGTAAAAGGTAGCTGTTAACTTGTAAACACTTCATGACATCACAAGGTGAAACAGAGCAATTTGAGCTTTGGTGATATAGTTACAGACTAATAATGCAAGATTACTCAAACATATGTGAATGAAACCAAACACAACTCCAGGTATGTCTTTGATGAAGGAACAACATGGGCCCTTAATGTAGTTGAATTTACTGGTAAATTCACACACTGCAATACATTGTAATACAAAGCTTAGCAGCCAAGGACCGGGTGCAGGAATCAACAGCTTTCTAACATGACTAAAAGCTCATAATAGTCAATTCTGGGTAATGTAGGACCTTTAAATGTTTGTTCTTAGGTGCGTCGACATGAGAAGAAGCTTCACAGTCGTGATCCTTCAGCAGGTGTGGAGGCCCTGTCCCGTCACAGTGGCGCAGGTCAGGATAGTGGCTTTGGCAGTGACAGTGCCCACATACGGATTGTCCAAATTGAGCAACAGAGTGGAGCCAGCCACCATTGCATCGCTCGGCCATCCCAAAAGTCCACCATCACCAAAAACCTGAGCTTCATTCCCTTTGACGTCTTCCTCACAGCCAGCAGACTGTCTGTCATGACCTACTCTTGCTCTAGCCTCCCATCATCTGACGCCCCTGGTACCCCTGAGAAGAAGGAGCCTACTGATAAGGTTAATACTTTTGTAACATAGCAGTTGTACAGAATAAACTTTTTGAGGTTATTATTTTTTCACCTGACCAAACTACATTACCATATTGTTACAGTATAACAATAACAAAATAAATAATGAATAATTTTAGGTAGGATGACATAATTTGTAAGGTGTCAGTAAATTTAGCTTCAATTAAAGCAGATCCATTATGGAAAATCAACTTTTCAGAGCTTTTAACCATGTTACAGTTGTCAGCTGACCTGTTTCTTTTATTGTAAGTTATAAGTTGGTTTAGATGAATATTGCTATAGAAAATGTGAAAATTATAACAACATATTAACATAATGATCCGCGGGTGTCTATACAGCAGCTTCAAGTATAATATGTGTTCTTTGCATTTTTTTCAGATGGGAAAGAGTGCCCTTAACCAGCCTGAAGTGCAATCAGTCTCCCCTCCAATCTCTCTGTCTCCGACTCCGGATGGCCCTTTGGCAGCCACCCAGGGGTCTCTGGCAGGGCTAACAGCTGAGGACATACTGAACAGTAACACATCTCAGCCTGCCTCTCCACTGATGAGGGGCAGCCTGCTCTCACTGGAGGGCCTGCCCATCCCCAGCCGCTCATCTGCCCGCCAGGCCCTGGGGGTAACTATAGTGAGGCAGCCGGGGCGCAGGGGACCCGGGGACCAGCTTTTGGAACCACTGCTGTACCTCCAGGTGATGCAGCCGTCCATACTGCTCAGCTGCCATCACAGAAAGCAGAGGATAGAGCTATCTGTGTTTGATGTGGCCTTAAGAGGAGTGGCCTCAGACTACAAGTGCCTGGGTAAGATACACTGTCTTGTTCTAGTTAACTGAGAAGTGCGTACCAGATTTTCCATTTATTTATTTTAGAACTTAACTTTTACTTGAGTTTCAAGCCCTTTTGTTACTGCATGTTCTTATAGTTCTTCTATTTACAGACCTGGGGAAAACATTACCAGAGTCTCTAGATTACAACGTGTCCTGGCTGCAGACAGTAGCCGCTGAAGTGGACAGTAAAACGGGCATCCCTCCCCCTCTGCTCTGTCTCCAGCTCAAAGACTTCCTCAATGGGCCAGGTGGGAAGCATCCACACAAACACACTTCAGCATGGTCACGCTAGCATCCTAATAATTCATTTAAATCTGGTAAATAGTTATAATAGTTTTATTTACTTTGGACAGTAATATGCTCTTGCACTGTATTCTTCTAGAAGGTTGTGACAGGAAAAACATCTGGTGCAACAAATATCTATTTATACTATTTATTGGTGTGGTGATGCAATTTATATTTATGTAGAATTATAACTTACGCCACACTATTGGATTGTATTTTCACTACATGAAAACAAGTTATTATTAGCCCCTTGTTAATTTCATCTATTTTTAGACCAATGTGATTGCCATATGTGTCCTTTTAAACTCCAGTTGTTGACCTTAAGGTGTGGCTGACATCTTAACCATACAAAACGGCAGTGAATAAAAGCATGAGTGGGTTTGGCGTGTACGAATGCATGCTACTGCCTTGTTCCTCTGAGAGATTTATGAATAGTGTGTGTAGGCAGGACATCCTTCTGACTTCTCCCTGAGCACAGCTGGCCAGATGCTGCAGATACACTCGGACATGCGTTATTTCAGCCACATGTAATCGGCACGGATGGACCCACACTGTGCATGCATGCAAAGGAGAGAGTGTAGGTGTTGAAGTTTTAGGGAAATATAGTTACTCGCCTACATACATCCCGTCTTCCTGCTGTCAGCAAAGGCTCTCTGTACATATCCTGTTCATTCCCATAATGCTGGAGAGTACACAGACCTATTAGGAATAACTATGGGCTTTAGATGTCTTCTCTAGACAGTAGTTAGTTAACAGTTGTGCAGGGACAAAAGCATACAGTTTCACATTATTATTATTCACATTATTGTACTACCTTTGATATTATTCGTTTTAAATTGGGGTTAAATGAGATCTAAAATTAGACTAAACTAAAGGTAGTTCAAGAAGAACAAAAACATCTATAGATTTTTCTCTACATTAAAGAAAAATTCAAACTGCAGTATGCCATGCCAGCTAAGGCAGCTGTACCACCAGCGAGTACCACAGTTTGAGAAACACAGGATTAGGCTCTTTTCAGAGGATGAGGAGAAGACTAGGGAGGACAATCCGTGTATCATTTGTTCATTTGTTTTTCGATATAAAACCAAAAATAAGAAAACGAAAAAACAACTGTTTTCTCCAAAACCAAAATGAAAAAAATGGGTAATGATTCTTTTACGGATTGGAATACTGACTAAACCAGGACTGATCCAGGTCCGGGACCAGACCGGAACCAGACCAAGACTGAGGCCGAGACCAGATTAGGACTGAAATCGGGACTGAGACCGGGACTGAATGAACCAATGATACACGGATTGAGGAAAATAGGTAGGAATGAGGAAATCCAATTCACAAATGTAGGGTATGCCAATTTGATTACTCATTTACAAACATCTTTCTGTTGTCATAATGTGGTCGATGGATCCTTATTCCTGTAATGTCTTTACTTGATTTTCAGCATCAAACGCATCTCTTTAGTGGTGTGAGAAAGGTAGAGTAACATGGGTTTGACAAAAATCCACTGAAGAGATTAAAATCCCAAATAAAGAATAGTACATACATTTGGTCACTCGCCTACATACTTCTTCCTGCGGTCAATAAAAATCCTCTGCATCTCCGCACAATAAAGCCCTCTGTGCAGCCCTCTCCTACAGTCACACATTACAAATGCCCATCTATCCCTGAGCTGAGTCCCGATAAAGGAAGTGGTCATGTTAGAACAAGCATGACCTTTCCCAAGACTAAAACTACATCAACATTTCCGTTGGTTTAACCTATGCTAAATATCTCTGATGGGATTAACTGTGTACATATGATGAAAGTTGCTTCAGTGTGTAGTGAAGTTTGCCTAAGCTCCCATTGGATCACTGTAAGGAAAAAATCTGGTATGGAACAATAATGTTAGAAAAATACTTTCTCCAGTTTGCTCTTTCATTACTGTCAACAAGTTTGTTGAGGTGTTAAACATGCATAACTAAATGGTGCTCCAACTTCATTCTATTAGAACAAATTATTAGATTGTCATTTTGTCAGGGAAGCAAGAATTTACCCCACAAACTTTGTAACTTGCCTTACAATAACCTTACAATGTCACTGCTGTTTTTAAAATTATTTTACATCACACACTTCCAATCAAACAGCTCAATATGACAAACTATTGCAACTTTTGCAATATATAGGTGACTCTACTTTCTTATAACCTAATGATTAATAACTTAATGATCATGCAGCCACAGAGTGCTCCTTGCATTGTACTATCTCTATGTGTGTACATCTATTTCTTTTTATGTATCTTACTGTAGTATATTATTGTTATTTTATGTGACCAACATGCTAATGATTATGTTGCTACAGCTATGGTAAGGCCAAGATCTGCTTCTTTTGTTTTAGTAGGCCAAGTTTACCCCTAATGAGTCACATTCATTGTCTTCACCTGCGTGTGCAAAAACATATACAGATACAAATTACAGCCTCTACAGATGAGTCAGATAGGATCCAGGCACAAAATTTTGCCCCAGGTTCAACTTTGTTGGAAACAACTAGAATTGGCCACACATGCTACTGGTTCCCTTTGATTCACATAAAACAGGCCCTCTCAGGTGTTCATCTATGGGACTGTGTTTGTTTGAAGCACATTGCTAAATACTAGAAACTAAAATACAGTTTAAGATATGGTTACTAGACCAGACTTTGTTTATTCCTGGTGCTTATGATGTTTTAAATGTTTTCAATAGTTTTCTCAAGACTGATAAATTAACCCTCATGTTTTGCTTCAAATACACTGTATAGAACTAACACATGGTTCAGATATTTGTTTTCTAGTATTTTCTGACAGCTGTTTTATTTATTTTTTTTTTTTTACCTTAATCTGATCTGCTAAAGCACCTGGTGGAGCTTTTATATTTATTTGGCAGTGGACAGTTTTTTTATTTGTTGTCATATACCCAAAAATAATGACAAGAAGTTGAAGTAAGTTAATGCTCTTTAATATAATAATGTGCCAGGACCAAGATGGTGTCCATGGTCACCTGTCTGTACAGGGAAACATTTTAAAAAGGCGACGGACACTCATCTCGTCATTATCAGAGGTCTTTCTTTTTCTCTGAAAAAAAAACAGCCTCAACTGAAATGAAGAAATGCACAGAGTTTGGAACAAAAGCTCAAACTTGTTCATCTTTAAATAGTGCGTATAGCTGTGTTATGAAAGAGCTTTAATAAATTACCTCATTTGATTGTCGGTCATGCACTACAGTCCTGAAGGAAATGTTAGTCCACACTGGTTCTCAGCAAATGAATCATAAAGTATGTGAAATAACTCACACTTACTTCTATATTTAATGGTTTCTTTTGATACAGACCCGGACGCATAACACTGAGAACACTTTCAGTGAGCTGCCCTTGTCCATGGTATATGGCCTGTTCAGATGGAGGCAGCTTATTCCACTAGAAAATAAAGAGTTGGTGGTTCTTTCAGAGGAGCAGACACCTCTGCTGGGACCTGATCATTGACCATTGTATGTTTTCTGGAGGCCTTTTTTCCAGAGCCTTTGGTCTCTGGTTTTTCAGACTTGGTCACCCTGCAGATCCTTTTCTTGGAATCCGTTTTACACGAAGGAGGTTTAGTGGAGTCCTTAGGCACAGGCAGAGCCAGTGCACCAGTTACAGCATGTGGATGTGGAGCTGTTATGACATGATAATGTCCATTGTCCACTGCCTGGTGGAGCATTGCTGAACCCTGTAGATGAAGTGCCATAGGCTGACTGTAGTGTTGGACCAGTATATGCTGAGGTTGTCCCACAGAAGCTTGTACTGGGGCCTCAGAGCAGGTGGAGCATTAAACAGACATTTCCTTTGAGGCTCAAAGTCCATCTCAACTTCTCTATAATCAAAGGTGTTTAAGAAGGAGATGATATTGTCTCTGACCCCACTGAGATTGTCTGTTTCCATATCTCCATAGTCAAAAGTGTCTGTGAAGGACATCAGGCTGTTCACAGGGTAACAGGAGTTAACTAGAGAAAAAGTGTTTGGTTCAGCGAGGTCAATGAAGCAGTGTGTTCAGTTTGCAGTTTGTCCACAAAATGAACTGAAACTGAACATGTCCTAGAGTCACTAGCTCTTCTCTATCAGCGACAGCTTAGAACATAATGCATATTTGCATATTATTTTCACGTACGTTTTACACAGTACAATATTTACATTATTTATTTATTTAAAAAACAAAGAAAATTTGTTATTATTGGAGCAAAACAATGTTTTTAAATTTTCTTGACCACCAGGATTCATTGTGGATTCATGAATTTTAGTGAAATATTACTATTGTTAGGATTTGGGGCTATAAACCGAACCAAGTGGTATTTTAGTGGCTTCCCAGGTTAAACAAATGCCAATACAGTTTATTGATGCACTTTACAACCCTCTTTGTATTTGAAAAATATTTTGGCTGAAGATGCTTTAAAATAAACTTGACTCTTCTTGTTGTATTGATGAAGAAGTGTGTCCAGCCTTGTGTCTCCTGTATTTATGTAGCAGATGCTGTGTTTGCGCTTGCTGTCTCCTTCCCTGATGTCTATGTATCATGTCTGGCGCCTGTGCTTTGATTCGACAGCTTTTCACATTTGATTTATTTCAATGCACAACAAATCCAGAGTAGAGTGCCATGAGGCCACGTCTTCCAATGTGTTTACAACAATATGCTCGCAATTTTAGCAGCATTTATCCTGCCGAGCCAATCAGAGCTGCCCTCCCAAGGATGCTGAGTGGGAATCAGGGGTAACATGTGTACAGTGGGCCGGATGGTGTTTCAGGGCTGACCCTCAGTCAACAGCTGCTCATCACATACACACACACACACACACTCATAAACACTGCTAATGGAGAAGCAGACAGGAAGCCAGCGAGAGCAGTTCAAGGCAAGCTTAAAGTACCACTCAAGCTTTTTGTTTTTCGGTTAGAGGATAGTGGATGTTACAATTCCTACAAAAACCTCTCACTAAGAATTTACAGCCTTTGAATGATAGTTTGGGTTTCTTGTTTAAAACATAATTTTAATTATGATTTCTTCTTCTTGAATAGCACAAATATGAACTGCTTATTTGGCTTTACTTATTTACCTTGGAAAAGTACATCTGCAATTCAAAATTAATTAAGAAATTATTCAGCAATATAATATAACTGATAAAACTTCTGATTTTTTTTTTTATGTGATTCATTAAATTAAGCTTCTCATCTGTGAAAATGATGCCGATGGTCTTGTTTTCCAGCTCATTCATTGCCGTTGATTGACTTTCAAACACACACCACATGCTGTCTCCCCTCTGGCTTCCTCTCTCTCTTTCTTTCTCTGACTCAGTCCTACTTTTGAAGCGGGTCAATGACAGAGACCAGGATGTAACTGCTACCACTTGGAGAAGAGACATTGACTTTCCCCTTCACTGGAGAAGCAGCAGGTGATAGATTAGCTAGAACAAATTGGAACCATTTCTTTGTTGTGTCCCTGCTTCGCATCAAACTATGGAGTTGTAGGAAAGTTGTCAGTTACTGTATACAAGTGTGTGCCCCTCCGAACTGCCCAGAGACACACTAATTTGAGTCAGATGGTATGAGAGGCGGGTGTCACTAACCTCACCTGGTACAAGGGCCTTTTTGTGACAGTGGGATTCTACAGATGCCCCTCAGAAATTTCTTAAGACATACATAGACTTTCTTTGAAAAAGTGTAGCTTTCATATACACAGTCTTTTATAATTGAACTTCTTGTCACCTGTGTCTCGAAGCACAAAGTCAAACGTGCAGAAGTCAGACCTAAAAAAATCAAAGGCGGGGTGCAAATGAAAACAATGTTGGTGGTGTTTTGCTGGTTCAAAGTGGGGACGGCGTCATGCATGACCTCTCCTAAAAGCTAAAGTAACCTGTGTAATAACCATATTTGATCTGCGCACCACTCTTTAGAGATTTCCATAAGTGTGTATGGGTTTGTGTGTCAGACCTTGATCTCCCGGTCGCTCTGGTGCTAATAGATGCTGACACCTGAGACGGGTTGGTCCCACGAACACTCCCAGCCTGTTCACATTAGCCCTGTTCTGTAAAGATACACCACCTCTTCACCCCACACCCCAGGACCAGGCCATGTTCTGACCTCCCTCTCACTCCTCATGCTTAAAATAGCTATTGTCAGGGTTTATTGGAAAAACATGATTGACTGATTTTACTGCTTGCTGTTGTTAAGCATTGCAATAAATTTACATTTAACATTTGCCATGTATGTTCTTAGTTATCAAATTAAACAAATAGCATCAAATATCAAATAAAAACAAAATCCCCATTTATATACCAAGGGAACAATAACAAAATCAATGCAAAAGGTAAGAAAAAATATAAATATAAATATATTGTTGATCGATACACGTGTGACGCTATTATCGCATAGTGCATTGTGATGTCTGTTACACATTTCATTAAATTCAGTGACTACATCTCAGTTCACTTTTGTACTTAAATCCGTACTGAACTGTAAATATACTATTAAGTATTAAGTTTCCTTTTTTCGTACCTTAATATTCAAACCAAATGGAGCACTAGTACAATGTCCATCTTACTGACATTCCCACATTGTAGAAACCCAGCCAAAGTTAAGGAAATGTCCGAGATGTACTGGACATGAAGTCATACAACACTGCACGCTTGTTTTATTAGACTTCTGAGAAAGATTGATGGCTTGACATTGCTCCTCAGCAGTAAAAACACCGATGTGCTCCACTGGTTCCTGGATAAAGCCGGAGGGAAGCCGCACAGATGCACCCCTTTCCACAGAGACATGTTTTAGTTCACACAACGTAAAAACCAGATCCCTCTATCCCTCGGTCACTGCAAAGTAATGTGAAAGAGTGTCGTCATGACTTATCACTCCCACAAGAGCCTCTTAGCCCTACCAAAAGATAAGAATGTTATTGAGTTGTCCTGGGAAGCCTTTTTCATTTTCTAACCTATCACATGACCTCAGTGATGTTGTTGTCCACAGTGCATTGAAATAACACTATGAGACATTAATCATTTAAATGGGCTGATAATATCCTTACTCTCAGCAGGTGGCTAACAACCATAGTGTTGCTGCTTTGTTGACATGCACTGATTGTAACCCCGATCTCCAGTCACACTTCAGGGAGAACTAAAATGTCCCTGTCTTATCAATGCAACAATAATAAATACACTGTAACTGCCGAACCTATGGGACATCTTTGTTTCTCCTGAACTAACTGTTTAAATAAGGGACTCTATTTTAAATCACAACAGATCTGTTAGGACAAAAATAAGGTTGTGTCTACTTTTTAAACAGTTGATTGGATTTATTCGAGGCGAAGAATTGCAAATTTTTAACTCAATTAACGTAGATACTTAGATACTAGAGATGACTAGATGTATTGGACCTCTAGACTGTTCCTAAAACATATCTTGTCCGATTATTAGATAGTACTACTATTTAGACCTTGATGATAAGAGGAGTCACTGACGAGGGCAGTTGATAAAATATCAAAATGGCTTTAGGAAGGATGTTGAAGGAATAAGTCAAATTTTGGAGAGAGATGGAGCAACCTGGATGAGCAGCTGCACACAGATTATTTATTTCACCGCTGGAAAGTTTCCTGGTGATAAGTCAAGTGGAAATGATAAGCTACATTGCACTGCAAATTCCTCTTCTCTGTTCTCCAATTCTCAGCCATCCCTTCGTCTGACCATGTGCCTCACTTCCACTGGATTAAACAAGAGCCAATCCTGAGGGCACACTTTATTCTTTTTATTTTTTCTCTCTCTTGGCAACACTCCTGATTCTGTCATCCAGTCCTCCTACCTGCGACAGGAGACAGACGAGAGGCCTAAAAACCCTTTAAAATGCCCCTAAACACGGCTGCCTTGATGAGACCATGAAAACCAGCTGCACTCCTCTCTACGATCATCATGACCAAGTGGAAAAATGGGATAATGGAAGTGGTGTAAAACGGCATTGAGTTAATTCATGTGTCTCTGTAAATTCCAGTCTAGTGTTTGAAGGCTGAAGTGCAGAGGTAAAGCAGGAGAGAGGCACCAGCTGGCAGTAGGTATATTATATACTGTAAATGTGGATGATACAGTAAGACTATCATTTGTGCATATGTCTGTATTTAGAACAAGGAGAAATCACCATTGAGAGTGGACCCAGCTGTCCCTCAACAGGTCGTAGCATGCAAAAACTGAACTTTGATTTAGTGGACACACTACTCAGCATCCCAAGGGCTAGACTGCAACTAATCTTTGTCAAACTAGCCCTGATGAAAACTTCCTTTTCCTTAGAAACCTGAAATGGCGTTTTTCCAGTTTACTGTGACTTTCCAAATGAGACGAAGCAACAGTCTGAGCCAACAGTGAATTTATTATATTTGTGTCCAGGGTCTAACATATTTTAAAGGGATTTAGTGTTGCAAAGGATGAAAAGGCTTTAGCATAAATTGCCAGTCGTAAAAAGTAATATTTGTTTTTACAGTGACCTGCCCTGCCATAAGGTTTACTAAAAATAAATGCATGTTTTACTACCTGTACTCAGCATTTCCTTTCCATCTCCCTATTTCGGTTTGTTTTGGGGCATAAATCATAGGTATGAGGATGAGCAAAAGACTTTCACTGCCTGTTTTAACTTTGTACCATTGTTAAATAGACTTTGAGAAATGTTGGTGCAAAATACTGGATATTTGTTTGTATGTTTGTTCCCGAAAATGGACAGTTTTAAATTCAAGTTTTTAGGTTTAGTCATTATGTCAATTTGTCATGTAATTATTTTATTAAGGTTATAAAGATTTATATGCAGAACAGCAAAAGAGGAGTGAGTCAGCTGGAGTTTTTGGACTGACTGGGCAGTTTAGTCTGTCTTTTCACTCATGAAGATCCTGTTTGCTAGTACTTCTCTGTCCATATATTTGCTTTTGCGCTCGATCCTACAAAATCTGAGAGCCTTTGCCAACATGCTTGCTTGTAGTGAATCAGTCTTTAAACAAAAATGTTTTCAGTCAGTTACAATCCTAGTCCACAGTACAGTTTGTTCTTGGTCTCATCCTTTAAGTACATGAATTTATGTCCTTTTCAGAATGTTAAAATACTAATTTAACTAAACAATATAAAATAAAAGTAAAATATCACATTGACATTTGTGCATCACTGAAACCTTACTTAGTTTAGTCCACTCCAGATTGTCTTTTACCTTTTTATATTGCACCTAACCATTCCTATCCTTTTCTCCACAGCTGAACTCAACATTGAGCTTTCACGCCCTCTGAAAATCAACCCCACACTGGCAAAGCTGGAGCAGGCCAAGTCTTATCTGAAGAAGGTCTATCCAGGTCACACTTGGGAGACTTCTAGCACCAAATCATCAACCAGCTCCTCCAGCCCACGTTCTTCACCCTCCAAAACTCGAACCAGTACCCCCCGACCAGATACTCACTACCAAGCACCAGTGGGTACTTTTGGGGCTCTAGGTGTCACATTCCATAAGGTTTCCCTCCACACGGCCCAGATTGTGATAGTGATGGAGACAGAAGCCCACCCGAAGAAACCATGTGTGGCCTTATCCATGTCTGCAATGAAAGGGAATCTCAACATCAAATCTGGACCAAGGGCTGAAGGTATGTCAACCCATGAACTATGAACATGGGGATTATTTAGTTATTGGGCTATTATTTGGCATAATTTTCAACTTTGACCCACCCTTTTTGAGTGCAGCCAAGTCCATTGTTTGGTAGAATTACAGCCTCTCATATAGTACTGTAGTTTCAGTGTCCCTACCTCCAAGCCAATGGGGGTTTTCTTCCTTTATAACATGGACATAAAAAGGACACTTGCAGTATATGACTCACTGTCTTTAAGTGTTAATTAGAGCACATAAACCCAACTCAAATCCGCCTTATCTCATTTGGCTGCAAAAATTACTTTTTTTAAGACATGCAGGTGCAAGTATAATGGGGATCGTTCTAATGATTTCACTCCATTTGGTCAAATTTATGCTCTTTCCAATAAACAACATTTTTAAACTAGAGAAACAAACGGCCCAGTACATTTTTGTGTCATTTGTTTTGTACCCTGCCCAGTCCTGTTGGCCAATTGGAATCGATCAACGTCTGTCTGTAATTAGGATTGCATATATGACAAATAAGTATTGCAACAATTATTGTTCCCAGTATTTCATTGCTTGTCTATAGACAAATCTAAGAATGTAATTCTGCAGTTTGTTAACTTTGTAAAACTTAAAGTAGCCCAAAAGCCCACCAAAAATATATTTGCTTTTATAATCCAAGGATTATTAAATGAAAAACTATTTCCAAGTCCCTGAGGCCAAGTCTCTGTATCCTAAGTTGACCACTGCAGTGATAGAAAGATTAATAATCATCTTGATATTACATTTTTCTCCAGTACACACTAAACTAACAGTGTGTGTCTGCCAAGAGCATGCTGCGTCGGTAAACCCTGTAGTGAGATGTTAGTGTTGGAGTGGATATTGTCCACTGCATGTGTTCAGATGTGCTCAGTTGTGTGTGCGCCGGAGCAGCTCTGACAGGGAAGGTTTTTTGTGCATTTTCATGTGAGATGTTTGTTTTCACGTTTGGTCCAAGCTCGATCTTCATCAACACTCCCCATTATCCAGGAGGCATCACAGTGTTTCCATTATGACAATCAGAGCTGCTAATGCTAATGTAAATTCAAAAGCTTCCAGCTCCAGGCCGCCTCTGGGTGTGAGCCGACCGCTGTGACAGATGATCTGGGACCTTTGGTTTGTTTTTCAGTTTTTGTTTTTCTCTGGCACGTCTTCTGAACGGGACAGCGGATGGAAGCAGGGCTGAGGTGTAGCGTGCAGTGCAGAACATGAAACACGTAAGCTCGGAGGAGCAGCACGGCCCCACTACACAAGCCTGTACTGAGAGGACAAAGATGGAAGTGGGCTCTAAGTGCATGCATCTGCTCTACAGATGTTGTTATATAGGGTTACTCCAGATAAAATGATTGTCGAAAATGTTAATTAAAACCTCAAACAATTTGCACTTTGTTTACTCAAATCTACATAACTGCACCATGACACAATGCTGTGCACCGCTGCCCCGCACTGATTTCCACCAGCTTTTCAGCTTTCATCCATCTTTGATGTGTTGACTTTGATAAACAGACTTGAAATGCGTAAGCAGCACAATGGAAAAAGAAATAAAGTTTAGAGACAATTGTGCTAATGCGAAAGCTAATCCTCTCCCTCTCATTGTGCTTTGAGGGGTTCTGTTTTTTATAATCATTATTCTCTTTTTGTAACATGACAGCATAGGATTATTGATAGTCATTACATGTGTAAATCATTTTTTATTTTAATTCTTTAAAAAGACCACACAGAATCAGCCATTGGCAGGATTTCATGCTTGGTTTCAATCCTCTCTGAAGTGATTGTTGTTAACATTGGGCCATTCAATTTTTCTGCCCTTGTCTGACTGATTGATAGACGTTGGCAAGTAGATAAACTGAATAATACATAGCATCATGCTTGGTTCTTTAACTATGGTTCTTTAGTTGGTCTGAAACTATTGCTTTCAGCCAAATCCTATTTATTCCCCCACATAGCATCACACCGATTGAGTGCTCTCTAATGTACCACCACTTTTGGATAACTTGTTTGAATTATATAATGCACATTTGTATTTTTGATACCTGTAGTGTATATCTTCATCTCAACATGCAGTTCTTTCCCTCAGGGCATCTGCACATAGTGTTTCCAGATTTGTTGCCATCAGGACGAGACGAAGTGTCTCCCATTACAGAGACGAATGGTCGGTGACAATAGACATATATGCTGACTTTTAGCCTGAGCCGCACAGCCTCCATCACTCACCACCACGGGCTCCTCGGCCGCTTCGGACTTGGAAAAAGAATACACAGGAATCTGACAGAGATAGAGGTGAGGATCCCCATTGTGTAAGGTTGAGCCTTTGAGCTGCTGCAGCACGTCAGAGCAAATGACCCCAGTGGGAGACGTGTGCATGAGAGATAGAGGACAGAGGAATGGACTACCGCTACAGTATGTTAGACTACTGGTCCTCTGGAGATTGATGGAGGACAGAGGATATCCCAGGATGATGCAGTGAAACGTGAGCTGCACGACGAGGGAAACAAATGCTAATGAAAGAAGAAAGATGTTGAGGAGAAAAAATGAAAATGATGAAAAGAAAGCAGACGGTCCAGACAAGAGTAAAACCAGAGTTGCAGTGTGTCATTAGGGAGCGCCCACAACACCCGCCTTCATCAGGGGCAAACATGCAGCTCCTGTCACCCCCATGCTCCCCTCCCCACACAGGGAACATCTGGGCCCCTCTACCTGGTCATGGACTGCCCCCCTCTGCCATGGGACAAGATGGAGAGAGAGGGGATTAGGTTGACAGTGAGGTGTGTTACCAGATCCAGTGCTAATGAAAAGCAAGTGGACGGGCCACATTCCTCCCCGCGTCTGCCGAGGTACAGGGGAGCATTTATAGTTCAGCGCTGGGGAGAGAGAGAACAGATGTCTTAAGGTCCATGAAACAAGACCCTCCCTAATCTCTCAACTCTCCCCAGACTGCCCATGGTGTGCCCCCGTTCCATACAAACACACAAATACTACTGCGCACTTTCATACGGATCCAACAACTACTCGGACCCCCACCAGTTCACTCTGGTTTACCCTGCTGGACTTGTAAATGAAAACTTCTGTGTGCAGTGCTACTATTTATTTATATGATTTTGTTTTCTCTTCCTATATTTTTCTCTGGCTAAATTTTAAATAGTCGGTTTGTTTACTTGCTAACAGAAGAAAGCCACTTTTCCATTTATCTTTTCAACAATCAGAGGCAGAAACAGGGCCAACCTTTAATTTATTTTTTGGACTAATACCGCACCATACTTTGGCAATTCAAACCAACTATTATGTCATTTTAATCATTACATTAATAACATCAATATTATATGTCATAGAGGGGTCCAGGGGAAAAACCACACGCAAGGTTTTAGTTTTTTGTTACCACTCATGAATACCTAATATAGTTGGTACTTTGGCTCAAGCTTTTTGCAGTGAAAAGAAAAAGTAAGCTAGCTATATGAAAGACAGATAATTGTTGAACGGTTATTAAAGGCACTGTATCTGATTTTTGCTGTCTTTAAAACATGTTTATTTTAAATCGTTTGCAGTAGTCCAACATTATTGCTCACTTATCTTCGGCACCCCGAACATCGAATTATTCACGGCGATGAATTTATATGTGCTAGTCACATCTATCAGGGACCAGTAGGGAGCTTTGCCGTGATGGTAAAGCTAACAACAAGTCATGATAATGCACACTTCCTGATTATCATACAATAAAACGCGTTATAATTATGCAAATGGAATTATTATTTTGACCTCAGTAGCTGCTTACACAATATAGCTGTACTGAGGCAGGACAAATTTTGCTCAAATACATAGAAAAAAAACAGGGATAGGACCTTTGAGTTTCAAATTCCAACTGAGTACTATTGTTAATCGTGTTACATGCGGTCCACAGATGCATTTTTTTAAATCAAAATCCTGGGTTTCTGCTCCCTGTTATTGCAAATATTTTGAGGAATTTATGCCCTTCAAGATAGACAATATTTATTTTTAACTTGTTTAGTTCTATGGTAATGTTGTTAATTTTTCATAATTCTGAACCCCATGGATACAAAGAGATTCTTATTTTATATCCTTGAGACCCAATGGTTAACATAGAAACGTATGGTCCAAATTGTATCCAAACAAACATGGAAACACTGGCTGACACAGAATCAGCCACAGTTTGTACCTAATCAACAGAAGCACTGAGGTCTTTAACTTATAAGTGACTCACATTTGATTTGAATAGAATCATTTTTGAGAGCTATGGCCAAATTGTGCTGAGTGGTTGTCCATAAATCCAAGGAAGGCTTTGAGGAGAACTCCAATTGTGAAAAGAACATGGGAAGTGTTCAGCATTACATTTGTGTTTTGTCAATTCAGCACATGGGGTTAAAATTTCAGTTGGGTTAGTAACATTGTTTCTAATCTGGACTGAAATTTGTTTGCAATAATAATGTACAATAGCAGTTATCTTGTCTTAGGAATCCTTGTGTGGTCATGGCTCTGTCCTAATCTTCATGGTGAGTTTTTGGTCCAGTGTTGAAATTGTAGCACAGAGTTTGAGTTTTTAGTGGGAACATGTGAGCTCATATTAGTTGGACTTCACGCTTTTGTTAAAGCTTTTATGCTTTTCTGTCACAGCTCTCTCCAGAAGTGATGACATTCACAAGTAATAACCCACAGATTATTAATACTAGCAGACTCAGCCCTAAGATCCATGAACGCTTGAACTACACTTGGTGTCTATTGATTGTTGACTCCTTCCCAACTTGTGCGAAGAAGTTGAAAATTAGAGCATTTGTGAACCCCTTGCCTATGAAGGAGCTCATATTGAAAGGGGCAATTAACACCAGCGTTTATGTCATTTGCTGACATTGTGCAACTGTGAAATGGGTTCATATGTAACTCATCAACACTTACCGTTGGGCCGCCAATGTCCCCTCGCCTTAACCCAGATCCCTCTCGTGTCCCATAGTGGTCTTGTGGTGT